AACTCCCCGTTGGGAAGAAACATCTAGCAGAACCAGGCTCAACAGGGCAGTTTTCTGCCGGACTAGTTGAAATGAGAGGCAGAATGCAGCAAGAGTCCGGGAGGAATGAAACTCTAATGAAGTTTTAGCTGGGAAGGTGGAGAAGGGGCTGGAGGTAGGTTGAAACTGTGTCATCTGAATGAAGTCACACAGTGCATCTGCCGCCTGTGTACAGGAGCAGATGGTGCATATCGGAGGCCTTTTAAGATGAGCTTTGGATGCTGATTGGGTTTCGTGGAGGTGTGGTTCAAAGCTGATTGACTGTGTTGCAGGTGGATGTAAGAGAGCAATCAGTTTCTCCAATTGAACTTCCGCCTAGGCTCCAGCTGTCTGTAGGGTTGCCATGACATCTGCTTTTGATTTTGAAATGCTTTATGGCAAATCAAACAAATATGACCAGCTGAAGTTAACCAATATGAGATTGTGTAGCCAAACAACATCCTTAAGAAAGACCTTAAACTTCTTGTATTTTCTTTTGTTTTGTTTTTTTTTTGGGGGGGGGGCACACCCTGTACCTGGCCACAACCTTCCTGTTTCCTGACAAACTACAGATGGAGAGTGGACTTAAGGTAAAAACACATTTTAACTTAACTAGTTATGATCCTTTGCCCAATGCTGGCTCCAGAGTAGAGGCCTTACTGAATGTCAGGATAGCCCTTCTTGAAATAGAAGCCTGTGAGAAGGCAGGTTTTAGGAGCTAGGGCTATAATCCACTAATTGAAAAGTTAAAAATCAACTTAAACTTAAAATGTAAATGTTCAGTGTAACATTACTGAAAACGTTGGGGAGTTAAGCCTTAATCGGCAAGCAGAGGGGTAAAATACTTTTTTGTAGTTTTTCCACAGTGGAGAACATCTCAGGAGTGTTGGCTCACATGTTTTTAGGGAAACTCTTCAAATCCTTCAGGATTCTTGATGATGTTCGGGACCTTGAAGCTTCAGCTCGCTCTATAGATTTATAGCAGGACTGAGGTTTAAAGGTTAGAAACAGCAATCAATAATGTGTGGTTCCTTCAAACACTCCTTGACTTGTTGCCTCGACTCGGTTATCTGTAAGAGGTAAGAAGGCTCTCAGGGTTTTTCATAGCCCAACCCACTAGCCTCTCCATGTGTTAAAGACATTAATCCATTAAGTTTTCCGATCTTGTCCCTGATGTCCTTTGAGCTCTCTATGGTGCTGGAGAGGTTAGACCGGAAGAAACTGGTCCTGTGGCGGTTACTTTATACTCAAATCAATAATATTTATAATTGGTTCGTTGGTGGACCTTTTTGCTACAAATAAACAAACAGTCAAAGCCAAAAATATGCTTTGCTGATGGGATTTAAATACTTCTTTAGCTAAAAAGTCAATCAGTCGGTACCAATTTTTTTCTGTATTTTTGGTAGGAGCTTTTTTCTTCACCTTAAAATAAAAATAGGCTTGTTTATCAAATTAAAATTATCTTTTGCCAGATCTTCAACATAACTTTGATCATTAAGCCCACTTTTTTGTATAATTTTCATTTTAATAAATGTTAGTGAAAATTAAAAGTAAAAAAAAAGGGTTCGAGAGCATCAGTCTGTTTGTAATTGATTTATTTATCCCACTTGTGATTTTAATCTACCAAAATAAACACACCTTTTAAAATTTTGATTTATCAAACCATTTAACCGTTTAGTTCCTTGTGAACAATACAGCAAATGTAAGAGGAAGTACAATTATCTTGAACCTTAGATTTTACATTTAGATAAAGTTTCCAAAGTTTTTAATTTTAAAATTTTTTAAGGTTTTTAACAGCTTTCATAATTTGAAAGCTGTTTAACTAAAGCATATTTTTTACTGTATAGAGATTGTAGGACATGAGATATATTATTGTAGTTTTTCTCATTTTCCTGAAAAGGTTATCCATGACACATCTGACAAATGTTGAAACGTTTTTTAAAAGGTCCTTTTGGACTGTCTTGAATTATCAAAGAGAGTCAAATGAGTTGATGTTATGAATGTTATCTGATTTTTTTTTCACCTCAGAATCTGCAGATACAAAAGCACTACAGCTAAAATCTTCTAAAACTGCCTCACAAGGCCTTTTGAAACAAGAAAATTCTTGCCAAGTGTTGTGCTATTGTATGCACCCTAGCACTGACTCCTCAACAAGTACAGAGAGTTACCTCAGCACAATAGAAGACAACTCTATCCTCAGAGCTCCTTGTGGGGACAATCCTCCAATATTTGACGTTAAACAGCTAGAAACTTTTCTCTGACAGCCAAACAGCAAAAAAGGTTATTTAGCCACCATCCTATTATTAGTTTTTTACTGTTTTCTTTTAACCTAAGGAAAGAAGCTGCTATTAATCTTACCTTCTGACATGCTCATGGTTCTCATACCCCTCCCATTACTTTCACAAAAACAACTATTCTAGACACTCATTTATCAAAACAAAGGATGTCCTGCAAGGCCCCCTTTTCTCTTCTTTTTGCTTTACAAGAATGCAAATATGCAGCTGCTGTCTCACTCAGAGCGGTGCAGATAAATGTGAGCCCTCACACTGAGAGCCTCTCAAGGCCTAAAGCTTATGGGAACCATAACAAGTCAGACAAACGGTAAAATTGGAAGAGCCTAATTTGAATCTAAGGGTCGCAGCAGGTAAGCAGGTTTCTGCATATATCCATTATGTCTGCTGAGATGAAAACGCTGCTGTTTATTACTAAGAGAGAAGCTCTTCCCTTCAACAAAGCAACTTTTTTTTTTTCCAGCATCAAAATCTGGGGCAAAGGACAAGTAAAGTGGCTTCTTTCACTAGAATAAAGTGTTCATTTGAATGGAAGAACAAAATGTGCGGCCGTTCACTGGAAAAATGTCTGTCGGATGAAAGAAGTGGACAATAAGGAATGGTTGGTGTATTTGGGTCAGGGCCATAAACAAATAATGTAAATCGAGGGGATTAAAGTCGAATGCAGTTCAAAAGAAATAGGTGGGTCATAATAGAGATGGTGAAAAGTGTGTGAAGTTTGAAGATGAATGCCTCGGTGTAAAAAATAATCCCTTCTGTTGAACTATCCCACATTTAATCCAGGGGGAAAAATGTAAAATGACAAATAGAGGAAAAAAACAGTGAGGAAATAAAGCAGTAAGCCAGGTGGGCTTCAGTTTTGGTAATGATGGATAAAGTGATATTGAATTAAACATGAGTTTGCTAGCAGGTGGATAAAATGATGCAAGGATAGGATTGTCTGTACATCATTAAATATAAATGGTTCTCTTGACCCCAGGCTAAATGACAACATTCCTACAGATGTGCTGCTAAATGCACAAGTAATCATTCTCAGTGCAGTATCAACCAGATCATCTTGTGGTAAAGCACTCTGGAATGTCTGACCTCTATTTTCCATTAAGGCTTTTGCACATAACTGGGAAAATAGTGGATATTGACTGTCACACACTGACATCTATTCACAGTAGAAAATATAATACAAAATATTACACAGACCCACCTACGAAAGGAAACAAAAAAATGCATCAGCATTTATGGTCATGCAGCAGCATTTTCATTTAGATTTCAATCTTGGATTTTAGTGGATTACTCCAGAAACATTTCTTTTTATTTTTTTACCCATTTAAAGTTCAACTTGATGGTGTGCTTCAGATCATTGACGTGCTGCAGTTAATGAGGTAAGGACTAAAAACCAACTTTAAGCAGGGTTCATAGTTTTATAAACTATAGAGAATCATCCGGGTTCTAGAGAAGCAAAGTCAGTTAAGGCCATCTTTGACTAGTTTGTCTGAGGCCTTTCTCTAAACTTATAGAGATAACAGGATGCTGACCTCTGCAAAAATTAATTCTTGTCATTTATAGCTCTATGAATATATATTTTTAAAAAGATCATCATGATATTCCTTGGAGTTTCCATGTTTTTCTTTGCTGGTAACTGACTTGTTTGGCTGCTTTACCTCTTATTGTTTACTTTAGGGCGGAAACAATTAATCGGATTAATTTTGATTAATCGATTATAGAAATAAGCAACTAATTTAGTAATAATTTAATCGTTAACTGGAGTATAGAGACTCTAAAACATGGCTTTAGCTGAAAGAGAAACCCACCTTGAGCAGCAATTAAAGAAAAAATACGTAAACATCTTGAATTTAAAATAAAATAAAAAAAATCTAACTTAATGTTCTCTATCAAGAACTCCTCAAGTGGAAAAATTTTAGTTTCACCTGGTTTAATTTTGTAAAAAAAACTTTGAGGAAGCTATACTGTTCGATTATTAATTGATTATTCAAATATTTTTGTAGTTGATTATTAGTTAATGATAGCCTTCTCAGACACTTCAAAGCCTAAATATGAATGGGCTGCTGCCATAAGTTTATCTAGTACCTAAAATAGGTCACACTTGAAATTATTATCAATAAGCTAGGAAAAATGTAGGCATTGCTCAGAAAGTACGTCATATTTGAGGTTTTGTTTCTCCAAAATGTTGAGTAGGGAGGATGGAGTCCTGATGCATACTTGGACACCCTGGCTTTGACTCATCTAGTGCTTACTCAGCTATAGTTTATTGCCAGAAGATATTATCTAAATGGTAAATGGCCTGTACCTAAACTGTGCCTTAAACAGTCAAGTTTAAGGCACAGTTGTCACTGTTGTCATATTTGTCAAGTCATTCGTAAAACCAGTCAAGGCATTCCTCCAGCACCACTGTATCCACTCCTAGTGGCGGAAGACACTATCTATTGACTGATTGTATCTGCTAGAGAAAAAACACCAGGAAAGGTTCTTAGTTTTTTGTTCACCTTCTTTTTTCCGGTTCCCCATTTTTTGGGTTTCAGGCCTTCCCATAAAAAAAAATCTCTAGATCAATAGCAGGAGCTTTTATATAGTTCTTTTTATTTTTGCTCCACTTAAAAAAACTGAAAGTGACAAAGACACAATGAAATAAAGTAAGCCAACAGGGAGCGACGTTTAAATAAAAAAAACCTTTGCATGCAAATTATAGTACTAACCTGGCCCCTTCAAGGTATTCCTACTTTTTTTATAACTCTACAAATCAAGTCTCTTAATTGTGTCTGACACACACAAAAAAAATCCTAATAAAAAAATTCAGTGTGTAAATAGATTCAAAAACAGAACAAAATACTTTTTCACATTAGACCTACTGATACACAAGAATAAAGCATTTTGTGAAAGTATTTCCTCTTTTGTACCTCATATTATCGACGGGGATAGTCTATTTTATATATTCCATGCTGAACAAAACTTTAGAGTATTCACTGATCTTAGGCGCTTTACACTTTACTTAATGAACTCTCCAGTAGCTCATAATTATAAATGCCTCATAACCTGACATTGCATATTCTTGTTAAAAGCTTATTAAAAAAAACTGAGTGCTTCAGACATCCTTAAAAAACCTTCAATGTATTTCTTTGGTGGAAACAAAACAAGAAAGCCTTCTTATAACAGTCGTGTTTGATTTTTAATAGCACATGAGTGTATCTGAGAAATATAAAAGGGGGAAGAAGTGTTTACAGTACATTCCATTTGCAGAGAAGCAGAAAACTACAGGAGTTAAAAGGACAAGAACAGATCTGTTATATGAGTTACAATCTTCCCGGTTTAAGGTTGCATCAGCAGGTACCAGCAAACAGCACAACCTAACTTTGTGTACAGTTGCATTGCTTGTGGCCATTGCACATCTCTGATTTAAGTACAAAAAAAATACATCTTTAGTGTGGGTACATTCATCAATATATAAAAGTGTCTTCATTTCTTTATTGTGCTTTATTGGGGAATATTGCCTTCTTTCTAACTGCTGAGTAAAATAAAATCTCAGAGCTGCCAATCCTGAGCGCCAAGCAGGGAAATGCATTACAGCATCGCTTGTGAACCAATTGAAGAGCATATGCTCCGGGCCACTTTACAACTGGGGCGACTACCTTGTGCCAAAAATAACTCTTGCTTAAACAGAGCAGAATTGTGCTAAATATGCATCAGTAAATGCCAGGTGTAACGATTGAAATACCAAATCGTGTTTCCTTTAAATAGAAAGGTAAATGGCAAGCTCGCTCTCCACGGGGCAACATGCAGCATGTTAATGTGTGTCTACAGGCACTACTCAAAGGATTTGGAAAGGCATGCAGAGAGAAACAGGAGCAGGAGGGGGGAGCATGTGGAAAGGGAGAAGAAACGGTGGGGGTAAAGAGTCTCTGTGCTCTGTACGACAGACCACAGCAGGGGTCTTGCTACCGACGGCATGATGCGAGTCCCAAAGCTACCACCAGCAACATTCAGATAGACATTTTCCTCCATCCTTTATCCCCCTTTCCCTCCTTGGCAGGTGGGTTAGAAGCACAAGACACCCCATCTCCAATTTCACAATGTCTTATTTTCTTAATTCAACCAGTCCTACATTGTTCTCTTGCAGCAGTGCATTCAAAGAGGTTGGAGTGAGCAAGAAAAGGAAGGTTATTCGACTGAAGAGGAAAGAAGATGGAGAGCCGAGACCATCGCTCTCTTTCCCGATGTTAATATCGTGTCACACATTATAACTGATTCCAGCTGACGGAGCCTCAAGGTGCAGGAGCAGGGAAACAAAGATCAGCCATTTTCATAGATCCTCCACCATAAAGCTCCCAAACTAACTCAAACATCTGCATGCCATGTAAGAACACAAACTATTTCATATAATACACCTACTGTAAAAACTCAATTCCTCTCCTCATGCATTTGGATTTAGAAAAGCTTGTAAAACAAAGGGAATTGCTTGTTGAATTCTCCTACAGTAGATGCCTTGCCAGGTAAGAACACAAACTATTTCATATAATACACCTACTGTAAAAACTCAGCTCCTCTTCTCATGCATTTCGATTTGGAAAAGCTTTTGAAACAAAGGGAATTGCTTGTCGAATTCTCCTACAGTAGTTGCCTTGCCACGATATTGGAAACCACAGCTGAACAGTCCTGTATTTTAGGTTAGGAATATTCCAAAAAAAATGTGTCCTGGATATAGTCCTGCAGATTTCTTGGTAATTCCAATGGATATATGCTACAAACCCTGATCTGGACTCTGATAAAGTCTTATGTGTCCAGTTTGAGAAGAACATCCCGGGCTCCTATGTGGGTCCTCCTCCCCTCCGTCCTGCGGAGGCGGACTTTGTACCGTAAATCTGATAGAGCTAGAATCCATGGAAAGCTCTGGGATGCCAGAGGGCAGCTGTGGTATCCTAGACGATATGTCTGGAGTTAAAGGAGGAGTTGACCTGGGGATAGCTGGATGAACTAACTGGAGGCTCTGCGGCCTGTGTGTCTGTGAGTCTGCGAAGCACATCGCAGTATGCTGCTGGGACATTGTGAGGGATGAGCAGGGCAATGGCATAGGAGGGTCCGTCCAGATGGAGGCAGCCTTAGATGGTGAATGGTAGGACTGAGGAGGGGATGGACAGTGCATGTATGTGTGATGTGCTGGAGAGTAATGTGTAGGACAGATTATTGCAGGTTGCGGCACCAACGGCGTAAGGGTCTCCATTAGCGTGGCCATTCTCTTCATGACCTGCCCGAGGTCGGCTACTTCCCTCCGGAGGATGCTCACCTGCAAACACAAACAGGAGTTATCTCCAAAATCTAAGATCTTGACTGGTAGTGCTTTACCTCAGAGAGTTTTGATATTTTCTCTCAGCATACTTCCTTATAGTTGCAGGCATGCAATATGCAGTTCTTTATCACAATCACCTTAAGGACAAGGTAACATAAATAAAAGAAGACCTTAATGATGAGCAGCCTTAACATCATAACTTCACTTGGTGCTGATCAAAACTGAAGGAAAATTATGCAGCTACCTCTCAGTAAAAGCAGTAAAAAATCTAGGAAGACTTTATGAAAACCAACATAAAATACAGTTCGACTATCATGATTTGTCAAGATCATGATATAAAGCCAAGATCTCACTATGGATTTCTGTAAAAAAAAATATATATATATATATATATATAAAGAGTAATTTTGAACATAGAACATGTTCCAGCTATGTTTTAAAAACTGGACATTAACTGAACTTGATATTAAAGATGACTAAAAATATTACATATACCCATACTAGAGACTGACACGGGAGTGGATTTTCACTCCTGTCCCGTCCCACTCCCACAGAAAAAAATTGTGTTCCGTCCCGATCCCGGGCCAGAGTAGAAATCTAAATCCTGTCCCGTCCCACTCCTGGTGAAATTACTCCCACTCCCATCCCGCTCCCATTCAGAATGACTCCCGCTCCTGCACCACTCCCATTCTTGTTGTTTTTTTGCGCGCGGGTGAAAAACTCAGAGCGGAAGTTACTATTGGTTTGCTCCCGCTCCCGTCTGCTCCCGTTAATGTTTAATCCTGTACCGTCCCAATCCCGTGATCATTACTAATACTGACTCCCATCCCACGGGAATCCCATGGGAATCCCATGGGTCACGGGATTCCCGAAAAAATGTCAGTCTCTAACCCATACACAGACATAATTAGCTAATTGCTTTCTAAAATCAAGACAATGAACTTGAGCACTATTCTAGCAGTAATTCAACAATCACAGGGATTTATAAGAGGATTTCACATGCAGGGATAAGACAGTAAACACAGTTGTTAGGTCACAGAAGTGAGTGTAGTATACATGTATGAGCAACAGATACAGGAATATCATCCCTCTACTCAGGTGGTGATAAATGCTAAGGGACCCTTATGGATGTACAACAGAAATCATTTGTTGCAGCTTTCATTTTCTTCATTTCATATTTGAGTACTTAAAGCTATTTAAATAGGAATAAGATGTTGAGAAACGGTGACAGGCTGAGGATCTGTCCAGGATGTACCTCACCTTTTGTCTACAGACTGCTGGAGATAGGAACCAGCCCCCCTGATGGATAAATGGAAGACGATGAATGGAAAGATGTTTGAGAAATTCACAATTTCCGTGTTGCTTCTTGAAAACCTCAAATTTAGGTACCATCAATCTGTCATGATCTTAGCACTGATGACTGGATTTATTATTCGTTCCATTATTCATTCCATTAGCTCCGCCCAGTTTCTCATCGCCATTCATCTGATTCACCTTCTCCAGCTTCTTTTTAACCACCCCTCTAACCAGTCATCAGTGCCAGATGAAAGTTACTTCATCCTGAGTGAAATATAGGAATATACTACAAAGGGGGTGCTAATTTTCAATTTTCCACAGTTTTTTGTTTTAAGGGAAACTAGAATAAACCAATAAGAGTATTATACTGTAAATATAGATATATTATAGTGGAAGGGCACATAGTTGTCTACTAAGGTTACATATCCAAAGAAAAATAGGAGCCATTAAATTGGTCATTTTGTTTTAGCTAGATTTCAACTTGTCTGAATACTCAGTAGGTCCTAACAAAGCTGCATCCTAATTTTATTTAATGCAGAAAATGAAAAAGCGACTCTGCTGCATGGTAACTTGTAAAAACAGTCTGGCTTTTATCTCTAATGTGTTCTTGATAAAGACTGTCACACAAAAACCGAGGCTACAGTGTTAGACCACACTCACTGCAATACCAAGGCAACCTTGCAAAAGAAAAACATAAAAAAATGTTCTCATGAAAAGTGAAAGCTATGCTTTTCTCCAGTTAAAATCTACATATTTGAGCTAGTGAGTTTTTTCATTCTGATTTCAAAGCTTCTGCATTAAGACTGACCGATAGCATGAGATATTGCATGTTAACATGTTCATATATGAGGATTTTTAAGTAAACTCTTCCAATGTAAACACTAGTTCATTTAGCTGGCTGTTAAGTCTATTATTTGCACATTGTTTAAACAAAGGCTTAAGCGCTGGTCTCCTTCTGCAAGATATGTTTTTAGTTTTTGGGTTCTATGCATTAAAAAAACAGAATCCCAGGATCTGTGAACATGTCACCTCTCTAATGTTTCGCAAGTAAATCCGAGCTGCAGTAATCATCCAGTATATGGAAGGTGGCTGGTCATTAGGTGCTCCCTTCACGTGGTATGTCCATCGAGGCCATGGCCATGAAGCCCTGCCAATGCGCCATCTGCTTCTGCCAGTCATGGCGCTCATGACCATCCATCTGGGCAATGACGCTCTTCATTACAACTGGATGCACATCAGCTCTCAGCAGGGCATGCAGCTCCACATGGGAAGTGCTCAACTCGCTGTGTGAATATGTCAAGAGGTGATCAGGCAAAGTGTGCAACTATAATATGATTGCAGCCGACTGAATCAGGCTGGGCACTCCTACTCTCTCTTTGGGTTTTTAAGGAGACACATTAAAAACTGGGCATCCAATTCATAATAGATTTGAAAATAAATATGCATGGTGTAACAATTAGTTACCAAATCTGCAGTATGTTTCTACCAATATTTTAGCAGACAGAAACAGTCAGTCCTCTTTTTTTGACAGCCTCACTTTTTCTCGTCTCATGTGGTGAGATGCCAGGGTCGAAAGTGTGGCTCAGATAAAAATAGAAAAGCAGAGAGTGGCAGGACAGTCCAATCTGACACGCTGTCAACATGATTCCTGGACTCCAATATTTGAGACAAACCATCAGTGGTCAGACTGAGGGAGAACAAAAAATAGCAGCTGACCAGAACAAACCCACAGCCTTTAGCTCATAATGAAAAATAATTATAGAAAAATTGCTTATATCCTAAATTTCTACTTTCTTAGTAGCAGGTATTATGCATACTTAATGCAAGTATTGTTTTAGGAGAACATTTTTGACATAAATGTCCTTTTATTGCCAAAGCAGGACCTGAGTCCAACTAAAGAAGTTGTCATTTCTCTGTCAAACACACCATGCTGAGAGTTACCCTCATTAAGTCATTTTACCCTCTCTAACAATCTCCGTTGTGGCTTTTCAATGTTTCTGTAAAACCTCCTGTTACTGGAGATGAGAGTAAAAGTTCCTTGGATTAGATTTATTAGAATTCCAGTACAAATTGGTGTCTGTAATATAAGTTGGTTAAATAAAGTCAGTCTTGCACCTATTAAGCTCTAGTTTTCTGCCAAACATCTGTTTTGTATCATATTGGTTTCAATCCAACAAGGCATAAATTGTTTACTAGTATAAGGTACACCAACATTTTAAATGATAAAAATGTAGAAATGTCTGAAGCTTTTTACTTTTAATTCTACCTTTCAACAGCTAAAACCCATTGAAGGAGATGCCGAAGCAGCAGAGGGACTGGAGTTTTCTTTTATTGTGGAAGCACTAAAAGTAAAGGAGCATCACCTATCACTCTTATTAAGGAAATTACATTTTAAAGCTGTGCAGAACTGTTGCCATGCAGCAAGAAGGTTCTGGGTTCAGTTCCCAGCCAAGGGTCTTTCTGCATGGTGTTTGCATGTTCTCCCTGTGCCTGTGTTGGTCCTCTCTGAGTACACCTACTTTCTCCCACCCTGTCCAGGGTGTTCCCTGCTTTTCACCCATAGAGTGCCAGAGATAGTCACCGCCCCCACCGCGACCCTGGCGAAATAAGTGGGAGGAGATGGATGGATGGATGTTTTTAAACTACAGTTAGCAAACTGTGGCATATAGGTAATATTTTGCAAAAAAGAACTTTAAAAGAACTTTTGAATCTGTATATACTTTATTACATATTTATAATAATGTCTATGAATCAAAATTAAATTGTTTATATATGCTAAATATAACATATAATATTATTGTACTTAAAATAATGTTGGTTTATGGTAGGGAGAATCAGCACTGCTTTTCTCTAAAAACTATTGAAATGATTAAAATGTGTATTTTTTTATTTAATGTAATTGTGTTTTTCGTCATGTTTTAAAGTCTGCCTCTTGGCTAAATCAAGTTGCTGTAGTTTTAAATACAGGTTTGTACTGTCTTAAAAGATATGGCACTTAATTCAAAATGTATACAAAGGGGCCATCAGGTCTTTAAAAATAAAGTTTCTCAATACCTGTTTGGTTGAAATTTGTTTGTAAATACTAATTAGTTGTGAAAAATTTTCTAATCAGACATAAACGATAAGCATTGGAAACTAGCATTACAAGTGATTAACAGATACAGCACAAGCACTACTGAGTCTGCTTGCTGAACAACATGGTTTGACTGACAACTACTTTTTGCAGTTAAACGCAAAATATTACAAAAAAAAGGTTCGCAAACTGAGCCACTACGACTACTGCCGTGCAAGTAAAAAATACATTTGAAGAATAGTACAAAAAAAAGCTAAACATAAATTCTGTAAGCTGACTTGGTTGAAACCAAACGGAAGAAGAAACCCACAGTTCAGATTACAAAATGGAGTAAATAGAGAAAATAATCAATACAATTAGAATACAGTAAGAGCCTAATGACCGGAAGCCTAAATGGGAGCAGGAACTAATTAAGAGATTAAATTCAAAGCAAACTGAACCTGATCTTTTCAAATCTAAACCTGAAGAACCAGGACAGCAACTTAAAAAAAGAGCAGACAAACAGGAATGTGTGGTAAAATGAATAATAATGGAGGGAATCAAAGGGCATTGAAATAATAATCTTAAAATGCTAAAAACAGTTCCTAATGCACATGTATTGCTAATTAAAGTTGATCGGATGCTAGCATCAATAAAGATGTTACCACTAATAGGCTCAACAGGCTGTTGCTCAGCACCCACCTCTACACTGAGATCCCCTCATATATACTGTATTATGTATTATAACTACAGTATGTGAACTATAAAGGTGCTGCACCCATTGTCTTAGCCGCACATCTAAAGCTTTTTTGTTTTACACTTAAACTCTTCAAATACCTCAAATGCTTAGAATAACACAAAAGTTATTGGCGACTAAATAAAATGCAGATCTAAAATACTGCCACTTGTTAGTATTCTTTTAAGTATTTGTCTTTGGTATGTTTAAGAACATAACATGAATTGAAGAGCAAATGTTTCACATTGTTCTTCAATGGATTGAAATTTGTGTTTCATTTTAGACATGCTTTATAATAAAATAGGAAACAAGATTTGTCCTTTAACTATCTAGCTTTAATTCACCATCTTTATACTTGACAGGTGGAGGATAAATAATTTAAACTGTTTTCTATGGACTAGAAATTTTAGAGTTTTGGCTCATTACATCTTCTATTCTAAGTTCACCTGCCTACATTTTTCTCACCATCAACAGAGCCATATTTTTTTTTTTAGGTCATCGAACTGGCAGGCTTTCACTTCTGGAAGCCAAACTGTGATTCTTTCCAACTACATCTGTCTAAATCCTCCCCTTAGAACAAGTTTTCCTACTTCTGATTTTTTCTTTATAATTCATATTATCAGAAGCTTTCTAATTGCAGCAATAGAAGTGTCATCCTAAAATATACAGGTTCCCAAATCATATCATGCACTGTAACCGCAGGGTCCTGCCTGACGGCAGTTGCAGCTACAATGTAGCTTGCCATCTTGAATGACATGTAAAACACTTCGGGATCCCTTAACTTATAAAGTATAAGCACAGGCCAAACCTGCTGGTCGAGGTGTCGCAGTTGTCCCCTGGTCTCCTCAGCTTTGGCTGCAAATTCTGTTGTGCTGATCTGCAGCATATCTGTTAAATTGAGCAAATATAAAAAAGTAAAGAGTGAATTAAAGAGTAAACCAAACAAAATCATATAGAAAGTACAAATGCCCACCCTCGAATTACATAACCAAGGTTAGAATAAAAATATGCAATAGAAGGTAAGGTTTTTGGGTGTGGACATTTATTTGATGATTGTAAAAAAAAAAAAAAATCTAAATAGAATAGATGATGTGCTGTGTCATAGAAAAACCTGTGTTGGACGTTGAGGCACTGGTTTGTTCATTGACAGGGCAGCCAAGGCTCGTGGAAAAGGAGAATGTCTGGGAGGTTTCTGTTCCCTCACTGTCCTCAGTACCGTCCACTATCCTATAAAGACATGGAAATGACAGAGTAACATCTAGCCTCTGAGTTGCTTCGGATTACCCCAGAGACACACTGACAATACATCATAAACATGAAATGGCAGTTTTACAATAATTAATCATAATTAGATTAGATTAGATGAGCTTTATTGATCTCACAGCAGAGAAATTCACTTCACATACATATCACAATTACTGTGATATGTATGCTTTCCGGATGCTTTAACTGTTACCCAAAGGAGAAGTGTAAGCCCCTGAAGTTAACACATTCTATGGTGATGAGGACCAGTGGCTATATAGGTTTTGTTATCTTAAGGGTCATGGCCTTTTTCATTTTATAACATTTTATACTTTTGTAATTTTGGTCTTTTCCTTCCTCACATAGTGGTTAAAAAAGGCCACCAGCCCAGTGATGCTAAAAACTGTTTTGTACGCAAATGGCTTCCTATGATCTACTGATAAAAAGATAATAGGATGTAGAGAAAGAAAAGTGATTGACACTAAAACATGATATCCATGAACTCAAAACCAATTAGTTATATAAATAAATATATATATATATATATATATATATAT